GAAAGATGCCTTTCAAATGCTAAGTATTAAGAAACAGAAAACTTTCGTTAGATACAAAGAAAATATCTCAGAATTGTTATGTAATATCAATCCTTCTGTATGGCAGTGAAAGCTGGACATTCTCTTCACATATGTGGAAATGTCTTGAAACAAAACAAATGTTGTCCTACAGAAGAATGCTGAGAATACAACGGATAGAACATGTGAGCAACGACGAAATTTTAGAGACAATGGAACGAAAAATGATACTTATGCTTAACATCCTAAGGGCACATAATGAGGAAAGAGGGCTTGGAAATTTGAACACTCAAAAAACAAATACAAGGGATAGAGGAAAACATTGCATAACCTACCTGGCTTGGGCTTGAATAAATGGATGGTGAAGTATGGTTTAAGAGAGATAACAAAAAGACAAAATTTATTAAGAGCAAAAAAGAAGATAAAATTGTGGAGAGCCATGATCGCCAAAGTTCTTAATGAATTCGGCAAATAGAAGAAGAATTAGATCAAACAAATGTTGCATTAATTGGTGCGTTAATTCAGTGCTTGCATAATTACTGTATGTTTCTGTTGCATCATTGTTGGAAATGATGTTGGGGATTTTTAGTTTTTCGGATCAGACCATAGCAAAATTCGTGTCCGATTTTCATTATTAATATAAAATGACCGTAGTTTGACGCTGTTATGCTGTCAATTACTGGTGTGCTCTAGATTGAAAAACGGCATCGTTCAGTTGCGAGTCAGATATTATTAAATGCTGACATTTTTCTTCACAAATGAATGCCTTAAATATGGAGGATGAAAAGTTCCTCTTCCACCATGTTATGTAAGCGCCGAAACTACGACAAAAAATTCGAAATGTTTATTTGCATCATTCACCAGCTCTTCGGACGGTCAAAATATGGTTTGGCAGATTTCGTCTGGGTGATTTTAAGCTAAACGATCAACCATACCTCGGGTGACCTTCTGACTTCTACGAAATCACTCTGCCATTATGGAGAACAATCGGAAGATTTTGACCCGGGAGACTGATAACAGTTTGAAAATTGATATTTCAACAGACTTTCGCCATTTAAAAAAGACTCGGTTCCATTTTCAAACTCGGCATATGATGGTCACATTCTTTGACGGAACGGAACGAACGCGATTTTCTTTCGGCGGTGTTTACGTTGCTGTTACATCGCAAAAAAGAGCCGTTCTTGGACAGAATTGTCACAGGAGCTGAAATATGGATCATTTATGATAACGTTAGACACAATCTGAGCTGGAAACACGTCTGAGAATGTGTAGATTCCGTGGCTAAAGCGGGCCTGTATCCAATGAAGGGGTTGATGTTCGTTTGGTAGAATTGGTGAGGGATTATTCAGGTTGAGTTTCTTTCAGACGTTAAAACAATAATTGCAAAGATATATTAAGACTAGCTCACCACTCTCAAGAAAAACCGCCGATTTTAACAACTCGAAAAGACAACGCAAAGCCGCATGTTGCAAGACAAACCTCACCGATGTTTAAAGAGTTGAAAGTAGAAACATTGTTGCTACAAATCACATTCTCGTTAATTTATCTACTTCTGATTTTCATTTTTTTACGGTCTCTGCAGAACATCTTAAATCGCAAAACTTCAGACTCTGTACAGTCAATAGAAAATTAGTATTCTTCCAACAACACCCCCACCCTCCAAAAAACGAAGTTTCTTCGAAAATGGCATCAGCAATCTTGTAGGACTATGGAAGACAGTTGTCATAAACAATGGAGTCTATGTCCTTGACTAATATATGTTTTTTTATGAGTATGTAGAATTTTGTTTTAAATTTTCTAATCGAGCACGAACTTTTTCAATCAACTAATAATAATTGTCTTTTTCATAAGAACTTAATTTTTTTTGTTTACACACACATGCATACGCAAGCACACACATACACATATATACATATGTTTTTAACCGAATTCACTCCAAGCAAGTCAGTAAATTCACAAGGAGTTACTGCGTGTGAAATAATTAAAAAACAAAAACATTATTAAGGAACGAGAATAATAGCAGGATGACCATGAAGATAGTATATAACGATTGACATTGCCTTTAAATTATTGAAGATCAAAATTTACTAAAAAGCATGGACCTGGAAGAAAGTTCCACAACCTAGAAGTGCGAGAAAAAATCTGTTAGCCTTGAATTTACGGATGCATCTACCCAATTCAACTGTATACAGATGAGACCTCATTGCACATCTAGTACTGCGCTTAAATTCATAAAGTCTAAGTACCACTGAGAAGAGATCATCCGAAAAATTAACATGAAATTATTTATAGAAAAGTCACAGGGAAGCAATTTCACGGCGGTGGAAAAATGACTGAAGCCGATATGCCAAGGTTGGACCAATAATATTGCTGATTCTTCTTTGGATTTTATCAAGAATCTCTAAACATTTAGCAGGATCACCGAACCATATGTGGCAACAGTATTCGAAGTATGGACGAATGATATACTTATAAATATGTA